AATTTTTTCTTCACTTTTGGGGCGCAATTACAACTAATGCGGCAACTGCGTGTTCGCTGCAAACATGGCTGACATCATTAGGCCGCCGCACACACACTCACTCGTACACATGCACACACACATAGCCACACACATTGCCTTGGCCGGCTGCTTCCGTTTTGACCAGCTTAATTTCCTGCCAGGCACCACATGGCGTATGTGTAATCTACTATATTGTAGCGCCCCCCTCTCTCTCTCTCTCTCTCTCTCCCTCTCCCTCTCCGTCTGCTTTCCTCCCACACTCTCTGCTTAATCACTGTAACTGCCATTTTTCATCAAAGTAATTACCCGCGGCCATCGCCATTTTCATTTCTCAGCCCTGACCACGCCCCTGCGTCTGCCTCCGCCTTACACACACATACAGTGTGAACAGCCACGCCCAGCTGTGGCGCTCTTTAGCGTCAAATTAAATCATTTGATATGCATTAAAATTTTATGCAACATTTTATTTGACAGCTTATCAGAGCTGCGAAACAAAATGTGAACGAACCAGATCCAGGCCTCCAAAAATATTTTAGGCAAACAAAAAGTACGTAATATTAAACGCTACATAGGGTATATGGGTTTTATAAGAGTCTTTTTATTTCTTCAGTGTATGATGCAGCATATCTCAAATCCTAAGATATTTCGTATATAGAAATATTAAATATTTGAATATGTATATTCACATTCTGATTCCAATAAGCAAATGAAACCATTTATTATATATATATATATATATATATATATATATTTACTAGTATAAAGTCCACTGCATTTCCCACTTCTTCTTCACATTTTGGATCTTATATATTATATGTTGTGTGTGCTCTCATTTTTCTCAATAGAAATGTTTTTCATTTATTTAAAAAAAAAATTACAGAGTATAAAGGTTCTGCTTTTTTATAGAAAAGAATTTTCCTTTTTGTTATTATTAATTCATAATTTATTACGTTTGCTTGACTTTATTAACACACTTTGGCCTGACTTGGCCCTCTTTTTGTTGGCTTCTGTTTGCGTGTTGCCTACTTTTCTGCGCTTCGGAAATGTTTAGAGCCTGTTGAAGAAAAGTTTTCAGCATTTTCCTTTCATATTTTGGACATAATTTATGCGCCCAAATTAATATGCGCAAAAATATGCAAAAATATGCGACTGCTCGTGGGCGTGGTGGGGCTTTACAGGTATATGCTGCCACGCCTACCTCTTGCCGCCCACCTCTTGAAAGGCTCATCCACTTCAAGCAGCTTTTTGATATGTGGCATATACATGTATAACATTTATATATTTATTTCGTTGATTTGCTTGTTTGCTGCATATGTGAGGCAGCACAGAAGCTGGAGCTGATTTTGTAACTGTTTTTCCCCCTTTATTTCAACTGCCTGCTCCGGCTGTGCCAATATAGGCCTTAACGAGCCAAGAGCTTCGTTTGGCTTGCCAACAACAGCTCTCCTTCTCTCGTGTTCTTCCCCCTTTTTTTGGTGTTCGCTGCTGCTTAGCTGCCACGCCTTTTGGCCCCCCACAAATAACTCCCCCGCTTGGCTGGTGGGCCAGCGGTGCCAAGGTGGCTGGCTGCTTGTTTTTGGCCATAGCCTGGCGCTACGATTTGTTTGCCTTTGCCAATTGGCGTAGGCCGTGGCCAAAACTCGTTTAGTTGCCTGACCTAGCTGCTCGGCACGCCCTCCCCTCTCTCTTTTCTCTTCCTCCCACTCCCTCTCTCTCAGTCGTTTGCCACTGGGCTGCCTGCCAGCTGCCGGTTGCAAGGTTTTTCTGTGTTGCATGCATAACCAACTACAATGCCAGTCAAGTATCTGCCTCTCCCACTCCTACTCCCACTTTCTTTCTCTCTCTTTCCCACTCTTATCTCTCTGTGGCTGTCTTTTTGCAGTTTTTGGCTCGCTGGCTGCTTGTCATAATTTTTAAGTGACCCAAGCGCCGCATGTGGTCGCCTGTGTCTGTATGTTGCAGGCACTGGGCTATCACTGCCCCGCCCCAAAAGCCGCAGCCCTCCCCGATTTACCTCTTAATGATTTATATCAGCTGCCGCATAATTTGTTTCTGCTCTTGCGAAACTTGAAGCGCGCCACACTTAAAACTACTTTAAGTTTTTAATGGATAGAACACATTCTCGTAACACCATTTCTCCAAGTTTTCCCTGGAGGACACTAAGTTTGGAGCTGCTCAAGTAAAGTTTCAGATATACAGTGGTAATTGCGTTTTTAAGAACCTCTAAAGCGCTTCTCTATTTTGATAATGGTTTGCTCTTGATTCATTAATACCGTCTTTAGTCCAGGTCTTTGAATAGGCAGTTTAAAAACAATGCATACTCGGTTCAATTTGAATAGCTCAAACTAATATTCTTTACAATTTTACATTTCTAAATGGCTAAAGTCAGAATAAAATTTTACTTTAATTTTCCATGTTCTCGCTCTTGATTTTTGTCGTGACGCTTGCCTTTGCTTTTTGCAACCTCTTCAAAAACTCCTTCTTCTTTCATGTTTTCAATCTCTTCGATATCTCGTTCGTACCCTAAATGATTTTGCTGGCGCCGTGGGCGTCGCGCTCTTTCGCTCCTTGGCTCCCCTTGTGAATGTCTCTCACAATTTCCTTGGCAACTCAACAAGTTCAAAAGTTCGGGGCAATTAACGTTTGTTGCCTTCGGGGCTCCAAATGTTTATTAATGTCCTCTAGCAGGGGCAACAACAAGTCAATTAGCTCCTGCCAGCTAGTCAAATGTGCTGCCTGCCGCGAGCTTTCGGCTAAACCGAAAGTCAATAATCTGCTTCACATTCTGTTCGGTTTGCATTGAAAATTTGCCTGGCAAAAGAACGAAGAAATCGCAGCAGCTGCCGCTCGATTTCTCTTTACTCCCGCAACAAAAGACAACACAACAAACAATTCAAGCCAGACACATTCATCCTTGGGTGTGGGTTATTGTCTTGCTGTTGCTGCTGCTCCTGCTGCTCCTGCTGCTGTTGTTGCAAGTACAAAATGCAACGCTGTGCTTAACAACTCGACGCATAGACAATGCGACAGCTCCTTCATGTCCTTCGTCTCCTTTACCTTTTTTGCCTCCTTGTGTTGTGTCTGCTCCTGCTGCTCGTGCTGTTCCTGCTGCTTCAGCTGTCCAATACAAATGCACAAGTGCATGTCGAGCTAAACAAGCAGCCCAAAGTTTCATTGTAGTTGTGCGGTTGTAGTTTTTATGTTGGGCATGTGGTTTTCTATACCCTGTAAATAGTGGCTGCCAATCAGCATTTTCAACTTGAGTAACTCCATTGGCATGGTATTTGCTGCCCATGTTAGTATAAAGTCATTTTTCTAGGAAAAATGCAGAATCCTTCTATAAGTGATTTTATTAAACGCGTTGTCATTGGGAGTTTGATTTGAATTGTAAGTTAATTAAGACCTCATCAAATTTCATATATACCCAATAAAATTAGCAAAAGGAAGACAGTCCCAAGAAATTGTACTGGCGATAATTAAGAGCCCAACTTATTATCTACAGGCATTGAATTAAAAGACGATGCATTTTCAAACAAAAGTAAGACAATGGGAGGGAGACCTTATATAACTGCAGATATCATACTAAGAAGAATATGATGCAGATATTGTACGAAAAAGAAGATAAAGTACTACAATTTTAAAGTCCGAAAATATATAGCTAAACAGGTAGATCAGCAGAATTACAACATATTTTAAGCAAGAATTAGACAATATAGTTGATAAACCAATAAATCAGTTTTAGTCACAATACAGTTGGACAATATCTAACCTTTTTTTGTATATTTAATGCAAAAAGAAGACAATATAGCTTTGCAAACTCAATAAGTTAACGGGAGTTATTATACGAAGAGGAAGATAAAACAGAATATTCCATTATTTTTGTATTCCACATAATATCTACGTTTAGTTTAGGGTATTTAGAATATGTGCAGCTCTAGCTGAAGTCCTTTAACAAGTTTTTCTTTTGTGTTATTCTCGGCGATCCCTCGCCTCTCCTCGTCTCGCCGCGTCTCTGTTAGCTCCGCTGTTAGCTGTGCATTTGCAAGTTGTAGTTTTTGTAGTAGTTGTGTCGCCCCCGCGCTGGATGCATGTAATTTTTATAGACTCCGCACTTGTCGCAGTCCATTGTCTTGACACACACACATAGTGAGAAAGAGAGAGAGAGAGAGGGAGAGAAAGAGAGAGAGAGAGAGAGAGAGAGAGAGAGAGAGAGTTTTTAGAGACTCGAGACGGAGACAACTTGCTTAGTAATGTGACGTCTGCTGCTCCTTTTAGTTACTGTTTTCATGGTCCAACTGTTTTGTGTTTTTGTGTGTCCCGCCTTTGTCTTTTGTCTGGCAGGTGTTTCGTGCTTTGTAGTTTCGAACAATGCCCAAAGAAAACATTACCTTTAAGTCCTGCTGCGAAATGGAACAACCAAATACTAGTAGTAGTTGCTGAGAAAGTTCTTCTTCGTTTTTCTCCTCTCTGCTCTTCTTTTTTGCGCTTTTAATTTTAAGCATATTATGAAACTTAAATGCGACGTAATTTGCTTGGTTACTCAACGTCGAGGCTAAGCCAGCTTAGGAGCTTAGAATATCTTACGTGACGGCTTACAGTTCATTCTCATTTCTGAGCTGCCTTTGTGTGTGAGTGTGTGCGAGTGCGTCCATAAAAAGGTGAGTGTGTGCGGTTGTGTGGGTGTTGTCTTTATGATTGCGGCTGACAGCTAGTGGAGCACTGCGTGTGACAGTTGAAAGTGGGCGAGCTGAAGTTGCCTTAAAGCGCAATGTCATTGTCCTTGAGCTGCTGGTGATTGTTGGCCTTAAAGAGGCGCTGATGGTAATGAAAAGCTGTATGAAATGTGAAAAGGGGCGGATATATGGGAACTGGAACTACCGGAACTTAGCTTTATTACCACATAACTTTAAGAAAATTAGCTTATGTAAAGTTTATGATTATTTTAATGAATCCTTTAAAATTCAATTCTTTTATTGCAGAAACTAAAAGACTGACAGCGCTAGAGCCAGACAAATTGGTAAGTGGCATTGAATTAGCTATAACGGTTAAAACTAGTCCATAAAATTATTACGACAAAAATTCTGAACCCCAGGCATTTTTAACTGAGTAAACTAATATGGATATAGCGTCTTCTGCGAGGCTCCCTTGACTGGATTAAACTGTATTTTTGTTGTATTTATATTAGTTAAATATTATTTATTTATTAAACCAAGGTAATAGGAAAGTAGTATAGTTATATTTAAATTTAAATTTATAAATAGTTATTCATTTGTAGCTAGTCAATATAATATTCTCTCAGCTCTTTATTCAGAGTATCCATGAGTCTATCGCCTTCATTAGACGCAGCTCTGACTGTTGCTGCTGCTGCTGCTCCTGTGCTGCACGTCAGGCAGTTGACGTATATGACGCTCTATGCATGTTGACAGCTCGCCTGCAGGCTGAGTCTCTCCATGGCTGTTGCTCCTCTGCTCCTCATTCTTTAATTGCTTGCGGTTGCTGCGTGCAGCATGAGAAGTTGCCACATCCTTATGGCAGTCTCTCTCTCTCTCTCTCTCTCTCTCTCTCTCTCTCTGTCTATCTATCTCTCTGTCTGTCTCTGTGAGTGTCTCGCCCGCTGCTCTAATGAGGTCATTGCTTGACAATCGCATTTGCCATGCAACATTTGCTGTGAAGAAAGCGCGCGCGCGACGTCTCTGATTTGTTGCATGCAACATCATGAGCCGCTGCATCATTCGTGTGCCGTTTCTCATTCTGCATTGCGTTGCGTTGCGTTGCTTTCATTTCCGTTTCCGCTCGCCAGCTGCTTCATTGTGGTTGTCATTAGGCCCCCTGTCTCACTCCCTCTCTCTCTCTGTCTCTCTCTCTCTCTTCCTCTCCCTATCTCCTCTTATCCCTTGGCTACATTTCATTTGATTTTAGTTCATTTTAATGTCTTTTGTTCTTTGTTTTGCGCTGCTTCGGCATCTTTTGCCGCTGCGTCGCTTTCATTAATTTTCGCCGGCGCCGCTGACTGTGCCACTATGCTAGTGTAGAGGGGGCTCTTAGTTAGAGGGAGGGAGAGGTCTGTGGGAGGGGGCTGTGTGGTTGTTCGACATAATTTATGCGACAAGGCGTGCGAGAGATAAATTTCTGTCGTTTGCCATTTTTCGCTTGCGTTGTATTTGGTCTAAATAAATTAAAGTTGGCGCGCGGAGAGGTGCGGCCGGCACTTCCCCTAAATGAAGCGCCGCACTATTTAGAGGCAGGCAGGCGGCAGGCGGCAGGCGGGGCAGGTGGAGGGGCTGCAATTTCCGTCGCGCCGCCTGTTGATTAATGCGCGCTTTTAATTGCAGAAGGCACAAAAATATAAAAAAAAAAGTTTCTAGACCACCAAATGGAAAAGCACAAAACAATGCGTCAGCCTCAAAGCGCCAGAAAGTAGACTTTAAATCGAGTTTAATTGTTGCTAAAAGTTGCTATGGGTACAGTAGAAGCCCGATAACTCGATTCAGTTATTTTTCGATTTAGACAGAAATTCAAATTATCGAGAATTACTGAGCAGGAGTTCTTTTCATATATCGGTATTTTTAATTTAGCATAGTACAAATCTTCGGGAGTGGACTAATGAATACAAAAGACTACAAAATAAATAGATGAAAAACTAAAATATATAATAATAATAGAATTAAATATTTGTATACTGTGTTATTATTAATAGTGTGTTATTAATATAAAATTCCTACCAGACCCTATCAAAACCCTAACCTACAGTAATTTATCTTGATATAGTTATTTGCATCAGCTTTGCAATAGGTCTATAAACGTAATATTTATTAAAATTCGCATAAGAAGTATTATTTATAGACTCTCATAGGTTTTTTTTGAAGTCATGAATAACAAAACAAAAACAAGTTTACATAAATTGGTTTCTTTTAAATTGTTATGACTTAAATATATTAAATTTAATCTTCAATTATATATTTTTATAATAATTTGGCAATTTTCTGCTACAATAGATGGGCTTTAAGAATGTGGTGAACTTTCACGCTGCGTATACTTAATATGCAGCGCTTTAATACGTCGGCTCACTTGGCGTATGCGTAATGCAAAGTCGACTTGCGGCTGCATATAAAATGCGACTGTGTCGTGGCATGCGTGCGACAGTGTCACTGTATGTGTGTCTGTGTGTGTGTGTGTCTTGTAAATTAGTGCGCTCATGCAATGCACACACTCACACATGCACGCATACCCACATACACACTCGCGCACACTCACACACATGTAGCTGAGCAGACAGCGTATGCCACTTAACCCGACTCCAGAGCCAGTTGCTACGCCTGACGCTGTGACATGTCTCATGTAAAATAGCATTTTCGTGCGTTTGTTAATTAAAAGTGTAACCAAGGTACGGAGCGAAAGAGATAGGGCGAGTGAGGGCAAAAGCGAGAGCGAGATGGAGCGAGTGGTGTAAGAGCGGGTGCAATGCCAGTTTGTGCCCGATGCGTTTTCGACGAGGTAAACCATAAATAATGAATGAAATTAACAACGCACAGCAACAACTCAAAAGCGTGACACTGCCATGTGCATGTGCGAGTGTGAGAGTGTATCTGTGTGTGTTTCATGTGTCTGACAGCAACTGACTCATCCTTTGGAGTTCAAAACCTTCCCATCGCCTACATTCGCACGCACTTGTGCAGAACGTTGCGCTTAGAGCAATTCCTCATATGATTTTTATATTTATATGATTTTTATTAAAGTAAAACATGACTCAGGCAGTGATATATAATATAGTTGAAATATGGCTCCATAATTTATGAATATGTTGAAAATTCCCAGATTTATGCAAATGAAAAACTAAAAACTCAATTTATCTACATCAGCGTCAGCAACAGAAAGAGCACAGAGCATTTCGCATTTACATTTTGCGAATGCTGCATGGAAGCACTGTGAGTGTGAGAGAAGCTTGCATTTGATATAGAGTTTGGGCTGGGTAAGACTGGTAGCTGTTAGTCGTTAATCAATATACATAAGTGAAAAATCTGAATTTTATTAAAAGATAAACTGAGCATTCATCAGAGCCTAATGGGAACTAGTCTTATTTACCCATTTACTATTGAACCTGTCTGCGGACTTCAACTCAAATTAGCATATATACATTCATTATAGAGCTCCTAGGTAAACTCGATCAACATCGATAACTCTCAATTGTTTGTAAAGTGTGGGGCAAAAGCAATAAGCCGATATTCTTTTGCTGTATTTTTCAGTTTGCCAATCGATATTTGAGTTTATTGGAAAGTATTTTCGTAAATATGGGTCTTGGAGTTTGGAGAAATTCATTACCCAAAATATTAGTACGCAAAATGAGAACGTGATTCATTAATAAGTATAAAGCAAAACATATTTGAAGAGATTTAAACAGTTTCCTTCGACTGTTTATGTGGTATAATGCGATTGAATTAGGCTAAGTATATGTGTGTATGTATGGTTCAATCAAAATAACAGAAAATATGTGATAGACATAGGATGTACATGTCAAAGCTAAAGTTTAAGTATTATAATAAAAATATTTATTAATATTATTGATTTAATTGTTTGAAAGAATTTAAGAAATAGAAAAATAATTAAATAAAACCATTTCTGAAAAATAAAATAAATTGATTTGACATTAAGTCTGATAATAGTATTCTCGGTTAGCTCTTTCCATTCGACTTTTGTTTATATTCCGGTGTGCTGCCATCCCATTAGGCAATAATAGGCCCAAGCCCAAGCTGCGAGCTGCGAAGCTCTTTGCTTTTTAATAACTTCTTCGGAAAAGGCTGCAATCCATACAAATTAGGTATTACGTTAATAGCAGCTCACGTAGCCTGCCGGAGCTTTAATGCCATTTGAATAGCTCAGCTTTTAAGTGGCAATAAAAGTGTTGTTGTTCGTGCGTATATCAAATCGTGTAGATATTAAGCTGGGGGAAAACGAAACGAGGTTGGTTGGCAAGCCCTTCCCCATGGCCATTCCTTAGCTTTAGCCATTCTCCGGCTTCCTCTCTCTCTCCCTTTCTCTGTCTCTCTCTCTCGCTCGCTCCCTTGTGCATTTCCGCTTGAACGCGGGGCAAACAAAGCGCATAAACGACGCATTGAGTTATCAAAAGAAATTGCTGGCAACGTTGCAAGTCCTTGTGTTGCATGTGCCCCTCCCTGTCGCCACCCACCCCCCGCTGCCACTCTGTGACAGGGCGTCAGAGCAGACACATTATTTATGGGTCGCAATTACTCAGAGGCGGCGTCTGAGGCGTCTGAGAGGGGCGCAGGGCCTGCCACTGCGAAAGAAGAGGAATTGCCTTAGCTGCCGCATGCACATATAAATTTCCTCAGATATTTATTTAGATGCAGTTGCACGCGCAATTTGCAATTTGCAGTTTGCAATCAGAGAATTGCTGCAGATACGAGCTGTTAGATATTATCTTAGATAATATCTGCTAAAACTTGGCTCAAACAACGAAGCTCTGACAATAATTTACAAGCGTTTTTGTCTTATTTCTTGGCATAAGCTGAGCAGCAGCCACAGCCACAGCTAGAGCCACAGCTAGAGCCAGTCATAGCCACAGCAATTAACATGGTCAGCACACTCTCCTGCTATCTCTCTCTCTCTCTCTCTCTCTCTCTCTCTTTCCCTCTCTCTCTCTGTCGCTCTTTGGCTTGGCAGTTGCTTATATCCGCCTCGTTGGACTTTCATAATAAACAAATTTCGTTAGTGCGTGTGTGCTCCTCATGGTAAGGCAGTTTACCAGCGGCTAGCAAGAAGAAGCAGCTCATGATAAACAGGCGGGCATTCCTTGTGGTCGGCCGCAGCTCTAGGAGCTGGACCATGGACAAATGTGCGTTGCACTGGAAGACAATGGCAGCCACATTAAGCAGTTTATATACCCCACACACATACACACACACACACGCTTTTTACAGCTGAGCAAGCAAGGCATTATTTATATCTTGTTTTTTCTTTTCTTTTCTTTTCTTAATTTTTTTGGTTTTTTTTGTACTTCCT